TCTTCAGAATGAAACACGAGCGCATGCCCCAACAATCTGCATAGCATGGTGCCTTATTTTCGTGAGAATGGAGTTACAAAGCACAAAAAGTGGTAAAAGTGACGTAAACCGAGTATTGCTGATTTATATTTCAAGGTGGTGCCAGTGGAATAATGAAAAAACAGTGTAGTTCTCAACGGTCCAGTCAAGCGCACAGTTTTGTGTAGAGTGTCTTCAACAGCGTTAATCGAATATGGCCCCCTGGATGACAGACACGCCACGGCAATACTGCTAAACGTCTTTGTAAGAGGCATGCTCTGGGTAGCAGTTCTTGTATCTTATATGAGATGTCTCTTATAAACAAGATACCTCGTATGCATATTCTTATCAATCCATATTTTACCGTATGCACACAGGCGTCTATTACACCCATTTGTCTCTTATATCGCAGGCTCTTATACATGTATAGGGGTTCAGCTGTATATTCCAGATTTTTCAAGCGGCGCCACAAGTTTTTTTTTTTTTTTCATATGTTTCTGCAGTTGATTCTGCAAGAGATGTGAACATCCTTGGTTCTATTTCTTTTCTGTCTTGTACTACATGTGGCAGTGTCATATGTGCTAATCTTTCTTGTTCCACTTGTTCACTGTGTTTTCTTTCTGACTTCTACATTTTTTGTTAACTTTGCCTGATTTTGTTTTGTCACATCTATCTTCATAGAATATTTCACTGCACAACCCAAAGTACTGGCCGCCAGCCTATTCAGGCATCAAGAGTGAGGCCTCTCCTATCTGTGCTTAGCATATTTCGATGGCTGAGAAGTCTAAAAGCCGCGGTGTGCCGAGCTCTGGCGTGCGAGCTCGAGACCATCAAAATTAGTTTTGATCTGTTCCCCTCTCTCTAAACGCACTTCTTGGCTTGTGCAGTATTAAGTTTTCTGAACTTCATATGTAGTCCATGCAAGACGGACTGTAATGCCTGTAGAAGTAAATTCATAAATTTTCACCAAGCTGTGATCAAATTGAAGTTTTGAACCTGTGTTTATATCATCGCCCACTGCTCTTACTGTGCTAACCCCTCACTCCATAGTGTAAATTTATGTGACAACATAATGCTGGTGTCTCTCTATTTGTTATGCAGACTTGTCGTCTTTTACGGCAACATGTTTGGCTTCATGGTGTTATTCAAAAGGATGGCTGGTTGCTTGTGGTCTATGTAGTTTGCTTGCTGCTTGTTTCACTGTGAGGCATCTTCTATCAGTGATGATGTTGTTGATTCAAGCTTGTCATTGCTTATATTAAAGTTAGGTCAAATTTTATTTACAACATGCTCGAAGTACAATGTTGAAGGCCACCCTAGTAAGAAAGCCCCAAGAACACAGCTTGGCAAGGCTAGAATGCCGCAATCAGGCAACAGCAGCAGTTTTCAATAAGACTTTCTTCAATGATAAGACTTCGTTATCAATGAGACTTTACAGTTGTTGCTCAATTATCCTTGTATCTCTGTGCTGGCAATAACACAGCAACGATCAAATGAAAAGTCTGCCAGGTTGAGGCTAATGTTGCGGTAAGAGATGTTGCCTTCAAAGACAGGCTGGAATCTACAACTGCTGGCCTCCTGAAATGTTTATCACCCTACCAACCTTTCAGTTCAATTTATTGGCACTTGATTGGCTCAATTCAGCTTCCGCAAGATTGACTCTGGTTTATGGAACAGATTAACTCTTTTTTCAGGTTTTGGCTACCAACCTGCTCTTCGTGTCTCCACAGAAAATGAGGGCATTTCTATTATCACTGCAAGACCGTCTATCTACTGGACTCCATGTTTGTCATTCTGTCGTGTGTTTATGATGTTGGCCTCAGATATTGTCACATTTTTCTCGTTGAGCAAATATTCAGTGGCCTTTTTACACCAATCCCGACATTCATGTACCCTTGGCATATTCTTCAAACTCGTTCACAAGGCCTTACTTTTAACTAACACATGCGTTGCAGTGTTGGGGTGTGTGGTTGAATATGTAGAAGGCAGATTTACATTTTCTATCTATTGATAATACAAAGTCACTTACTTTGGAGTGTGAACTACATTTGTGTAAGGTTGTGTAAAATGAATGGCCTAGCCAGCATTTTTACTCTCTCATCATTTCTGACAGCTTTAACACTGATTCTAATCATGAATTCTCGCACCTCACAACTCCAGAGCACTACAATTCTTAAGGTGGTACCCTATATATGTTGTTCAGTAAGTACATTCTCAAGTGCAAAGTTCTGAGTGCAATTTCACACTATCACAGATGTAGTTTGATAAGAGCAGAGCATTGAAATGCTTGCATACGTTTCTATAAGTTTAAGTGTGAATAACCCCATGAGTCTGAATGTTATTTCAAGTCTTTACAATACTGTAATAGATTGCATTTTGACTTGGGCATACAACTCTACAATTAAATGTAGAGGAACACTAAAAAGCAAAATTATTTTCACATAGTAGTAAAGTACAATTTTTTGCAATTACGAAAACCTCATTCTTACCACGGCACAACGCTTTGTTAGGGAGAAAACGCGCATAAAGAAAATGCGGGTAGTGACGCCACTGTGAGCTTCGTGCACCAAACATCATGATCTTAGAAATTTTAATGGCGTCTGCAGAGTCCTACATAGCTTCCAATCGATTAAAATGAAATACATTGTAACTTGTGGGTGCCATAGACATTGCGTACGAAGTTTAAAAAAGTTAATCGAGCCACCGAAGCGAACATACAAAAAATACATTGAAATTTTTTAGATCAGGTGCAAAGATTTTGGCATGAAATTTAAATATGAAGCTTTAACCTTGATTTTTTCTGCTAATATAAACTTATGATAGCAAAACATATGACATTAGAGTTCTAAAAATGCATTTTGTTCATCTAAACTAAGTCACTGTTCCTCTTTAGTATCCTTTTTAAGTGTCGTGCACTTGGGATATTTTGCATGTGGCATCTTTTGCATGCGATGCACAAACAAAAGTAAAACTGTTAGAAAATGTGAAGTGCAAAACACCTGAACCACATTGTGTTTTTCAAGCAACCCTTCAATATTCCACTAAACGATGACCTCACTACTGCTTTGATCAAGTCCGTGTTGTAGGGTTACTGATTTAAAGTGTGATATCAAGCTATAGATATTTTGCCACGCTACCTGCATGATTGTAGTGCTGTGTTAAATGGATATGGCACTGTCACTTCACACTATGCCACCAAATACACATTCCATATGACTGCTGCACTGCAGCTGAGCTTGGTATATTTGAATTTTTTTTATTGTAGCTTTGTTGCGAATTGTTGATTTACTTGAGCCTACTACTTTAGCTGCTCTTTTGTGTGTTTTATTGTGTACTGGATATACATACATCCATCCTTTATTTTCCAGTCTGCCAGGTTTACACTGCTAACCCTTGTTTCTCAGAAGAGGATATTAGTACCATTTGTAGAATCATCTTTTATCAAATGGCCCGGAATTTTGTTTGACTGTAGCTAAAATAAATCGAGAAAGATTAGACAAAACCAGTCAAGCAGACATCGTCATAATCCACAGTAGCAGTTAAGTGAAGAAATAGCTTTCTATTGTACAGAAAAATGATTTAGATATCCCGGTTTTTCGTAGACATTCATTTTCCAACTTTTTTTTTCATACTGTATCAAGTGTTCTCATTCGTACAGCTGAAAGCCTATGTTAGCCTGGCTATTATTAAGCAGTTTTTGTGGTTACACACTGTAATTGGATGTTGTGCTCAAGCATAACTATCATCGCGGATTGATTGTTTCGAAACTACAGTAGGCTCTCGGTAAATGAAACCTGAAGGGACCGGGAAAATATGTTTCATTTAACAGGAGTTCCTTTCACCGAGAGGTGAACATGAATGCAAAATACAAGTCCGAAACCAAGCATTACAGAAGCAATAGTTCCGTTTAAGCAGTAGTTCCATTTAACAGATTCCCATTTACTGAGAGTCTACTGTGCTGTGGTTATACTCTAATGCATAGCTGAGTACTAATATGTGGACTTTTGAAACAATAGTGGTTGCCTTTTGCAGCTGTTTAAACATTCTGTCCATTAGCGTATTGTATTTACACAGCGGGCATATAGGTGCCCAACATCCTTGTTTCCTCTTTTCTGTGCCGCTAACATTTTTGGAAGTGTACAATAATGATGATCAGCAGGGCATTACATAAGTTTTCAGGAGAACCTACCCAGGGTTCCAGACTTCTCATTGAATGTCGTGAAAGTCGCAGTGTGTTGCAGGCCTTTTTATTTTCCCAGTTTTTCTGAATGCTGTGTTGCTTCGCTGTCGGGTACGGCTTAAGAAAGCAGGAAAAGCACTGCCCAGATGACCTAATTATAGCACTATGTGGCCTCCATGACTTAATAGTCCCACTCATGTACACAGCAATGCTCCCCTATGGTAAGGCGGTTGATCGCACTTGTTCGTGACATCAATATAAAGTGTGCGCTTATCAGTGTGTCCTTGTGCATGTGCCTTTCAGGTGGGTACGCCACTGCCTTCTATAGTTGCACCCAACTTGAGTTCATTAAGATTTTGTGTCTATGTTACAGATTTTCTGTTGACAGTCATCGAGTTTACCAATAATTCCTTTGCTCTTAAGCTAAGCAGCTGTAGCTTGTTTTTTTTTTTTTTTGGAATGCTCAATGTTGCTGAAGTTTGATGGTGTGCCTATATATGCAGCATTGTTATTGGGACTGTGAACTTCAATAAAATGCAGCTATCTTCATACATAGAAATCACTATCTCGTATTTATTTTCCGTACTGTTGTTCTGAAATGTTTAGGTATCAGCTGTATCTTCATATGAATTGAGGTGGCATACAGAGCTGTTTGCACTACTCCAGAGAAGTTTTGCAAAGTATTTTTTAGCAAAGCCTAGATACACATGTTTAATTGCTTATAAGAGCATGATACTTTCACATATTTGTAAAGTGGATCTGTGGTGATGTTTACGAGACAAACCATGCTTACTGTTCGCAGTCTTCGATCCCAAAGCCTTCTCACAGCTGTCAGCCGGAGTGGTGCATTCAAAAGCGGAGACACATCACAGCCCGCTGACCATCGACTCCGATGAAGACACTCAGGATGCACCGGAAAATTTTGGCCACTGTGGCAGCGATGAATATATCGAGGGCTCCCTAGACGGAGCGGATTTCAATGTCCCGCCCGGGCAACACAAGTGCCCCGTTTGCCTCCGTACGTACGTTAGCCCGGTGCTCTTGGAGAAGCACAAGTGTCCCGGGAAGCCGGAAAAGAGGTACACGTGTCACATATGCTTCCGCGAATTGAACCGGGAAGGCCACCTGGTGGCCCACATGCGCGTGCACACCGGCGAGAAGCCATTCAAGTGCACCATTTGCTCGCGCGCCTTCCGGCAAAAGTCCAACCTGACAGTGCACATGCGCCAGCACACGACTGGGGGCAGTTCCAGTGCACCGTGTGCCCTAGGTCCTTCACTAGGAGGGACTATTTGCAGATGCACATTCAGCGCCACCACATGCTGTAGGGCATTCAGAGGTGTGCAGTTGGCCAAAGATAAAATGTGATCAAAAGTGTCTCGAATACTCGCGACACAATTCGGACCAACTGTGTGCATTGTATGGCACGGGTTTAGTTTGTCTGTGAGCTACAGGGCTTACTAAGGAGTTTTAGAATATAATTCAATTGATGGAGCAAGAGTAGCTAGGATTTATGACAGAGCAACCAACATAATAGTAGCTTGAAATTGACAAAGTAGTGTGACAGGATTCTGAGATAAAAATGTGCTGGTCATGGCTCTTATGCAGAAGTGTAAACTAAGGTTGTGCAAAAGGTGGAAGTACGACACTATCAAAAGCATAGTTGCACAACTGTAGCTCGAGCAGTGATGTTTAGGTCCAGAAAGTCTTCGAGAGCAGTAATGATCCAAATGCAGCTGGAAAGCTCTTGTATCAACTGGACGCTATCTCTCAAAGGTGACGACAATCGTTTAAGATGTGATAGCTGAACAAGTTGTGCAAGAGAACGTACAATGTGCCCGATGGTGCAGGGCGCCACTATCAAACAGTTGGCATAGTCGAAATGAGGCGACATTCCTCAGCTGCCTATAAGCTTCAGTTTGGGGCGAACCTGATCTTTCGGAATTGGCAGCAGTCTCTGGGCCATCACTCTCGAAATATTTTCAATTCATTTTTGCT